TATGAGGGGATTATACTCCCACTCACGCAAGGATAATTTTCTTCTTATTCTATTTTTTTTTCTTTCCGGATGAGAATCAGTTACTGACCGAGTAATTTCATGCGTACTTGGCTAGGAGGCTACCCGTTACATAGAAATGCAATTTTAATTCTTCGTGCGCCGTATAGTGCAATGCGGGCAATTCCACTAAAGTTCGCGTAGTGATTTATAGAAATGGGTGTGTCGACACGTGAGGTCAATCAATAAATAGATTCTGATTATTGATAAAAAAATAAAAAGAATATTTTCAAAATAATAAATATCAACAAAATAAATATCTTTGAATCATTTCAAGCTAGAATCTCTTACTTTTATTTAATTGTGCGTTAAAAAATTTTCATATTATGTAATTTTCACAGTATGATTCTTCATGCCATAATAATTATTAATATAATTATCAATTAATTTCGTGACATATTTCGTTGGAAAAATTTATTCTAATGAATTTTTAATTAAAATATTATTATACCAGTTTTTTAAATAAAATTCGTGTAATACATTATGTAATGTAACAAAAAGAAATTTAAAAAAGTAATATCTGTGTAGATATTATTTTTATTATATTAAACATGTCAAAGACTTCTACAGTAATGCTCCTTTGCATTAAATCAATATCATTTATAATATTCGAAACAACTTGTGCATCCTCTAACTCGTTTTTGCTGTAACAGGAAAGAGGAAAAAAGAAAACGAAGATGTGCAATTGAACAGGAACACATGGTGTTCATATCATTTGCCAGTGAAGGAATGTTACAGAACTACCAGAAAGCAACCGAGACGTATGTATGGTGCACGTCTTGCAGCTGTCAAGCTTTCACGAAATTAGCGAGTTAGAAAAGCAGGCCAGCTATATAATGCTACATATGAAAGTAATATTCCCGCGAATAATTCCATTCGAGTAACATGACAGATATTACGTGAGTAAAATTATTCGAGACAATTAATATCGGTGCTTCTTGAAGTTGCATCTATAAAATTTATATTACGTAAAATTATAAAATTCTGTGATATGTAACATTATATATGGCAAGCGAACTCTTTACGAACTCTTCAGTGCAAAATAAGTGTAATCGTGCTGTTTAAAATATTACTTGTATATTGGTGAAAACATGAACAATTTTTTCGATCGAACGAAGGATGAAAGGAAAATCTGTCAAGAGAGAATATTTATTACAAAATACTCGGATTCAAGGGATAAAATCGGAAATTCTCAGATTGTTATAATTCTACAAAGAATTCACCGATCCATCACGAGAATTTTTAGGGATATTCTAAAGGCACTTTAGAAATTCTATAACAGATTCTTAAATGATCTGTACCCATCTACCTACTCATACTTTTTAGCACTATTTATTTCTTACATGATCCACTTCCTGTTTTTTGGAATTTCAATAATCACAATTTGATAATAATTGATTATATTTTAGGTTTATTTCATTAAAACTTGATTTAAAAATTCAATATAAATAAAGTAGGATGGGATATTATGAGCAACTTAAGAAAATGTTTTAATATTTCATACTGAACATATTGCATACTGAAGAATAATAAAATCTTGTTCCTTCCATTTGATAGGTCTGTTGGTGTTATATGTATTTTGGAATTAGTTATTTTCAAATACTAAAATGGCGAGAAGGGGGAGGTTGTTCTTATTACCCATCTAGTGCTCATATTAATCTCAGAACAAGATATCCCATCTCAATGTAGATTGGGAACCTAAAATGATAGGAAAAAATGTAAGAAATACGAAAATAACATATTTGTTTATTTAATTCGATAAATTTCCAAAATAAATAAAAAATTAATGTAAATCCCGCAGCATACTGGGTAAAGATAGATGCATCATTTTCACAGCAGATTGAACTACTAATACCAATTATTGCAGAAATATAAAGAGTGCTCATAATACCCTAAATGAATGAAGAAAGAACATCACTGAGAAAAAGAATAAAGAAAAAAGCAATGCTTTGGCTTTATCACTATTTGAAGAATTAAAATTATAAATTACAATTATATTTGTATAATTATCTGAATAGTTTATTCAAACCATTTACGTATTTATTGCTTTAATAAATTAAAAATTAAAAATTAATCATATAAATATTAACTTAATTAATGATTTAATAATTAATGGTTAGATGATAAATAATTTATACATGATATTTATAACGAAATGATTAAATTGTTATAATTCAAATTCTAAATTTACATTAATGCTGATCAATTTACTGATACGATGCTTCGTGACAATAATCATGACGATTGCAACACGAACGTTTGTACGAAGCGTAAAAAGATGAGGTAACGAGTATGGGCACGCGATTTATCATAACAACGGGAGAAATAGTAAGGCATCGGTACATCTTGTGTTTACTGAATGCAGAAAAATATGCCTGTGCGTGCGCAATGCACCTATGGGATTCAGTTATACCGCACTGACCAATTTTCAGTTACGTTATATTCATTAATAAAATAAAACGCACATGGATTCCGTGCATTTCCTCGATTTTACGTAGTGATAAAAATGAAAAAAAAAAATAGATTCATACGATACATTCGATCACAAGAATGAAAAAAATAAAATATATAGAGGCTTACACAGAATTTCAATTTTTGTAACATCTTGGAAAGGAAGCATTAATGACATTTCGGTGCAACTGAGGCTCTCGTGCTCACGATGCATCGAAGTCCCGTTAACTATACATGTGCGCGACTTTGCGCATGTTACACAATTACTTGATTGTACATGAAGCAGAATTTTTACAACATTTCTGATGCTAATGATCTTAAATTGTTACAGGTTTTTGCAAATTTTATTTTTTATGAGTTGTATAATTTTTAATGAATTAAAAGAATTAGCAAATAAAGAACAAACAATATGTATGAAAAATTAACCAAAAAAATTGTCAATATAATAATTATTACTAATAAAGCTTAATAATTATCAAAACAGTATCAAAATAAATCATTAAATGTCACACGTAGGACATTTTATTTTATCTTGTTCTACAATTACTACTTCTACAAACACCATTGAAATAATCAGTTTTTAAAGCAAGTATAGACTATAGCAGAAATGATTGAGCGGACAGATAGCGTACACTTAGTAGCTCTTAATGACAGCAATTAAAAATCTGTACAATGAAAAAAATAGTTCTGTGTTGACAGTTATAAAATTAAAACTGTAAACAGAAATAATTGGCAATACCATGTAATACCATTCTAATTTTATTATCATTATTATGATTAAAATTATGACTATTTAAATATAGAAGTATAATAAAAGCTCTATTGTTTTAAATAATTAAGATAAAAAAACGCCAACACAAAAATGTATTTGCGTTACATGTATTACCGATATCCGTATTTTAAAAGATTTTTGAGATTTGCTCGAACGAAATATTCAGTACGTACTAATTATCCAATTTATCATATCGCAATTGCAAATAAGGATTTTACATGTTAAATGAGCAAAACTAGGAAGTCACGAAAAACATGGCAGAAACTCGGCAATTACGTTTAGTGCTAAACATGCTATTTAGCGTGAATATCGTGAAACGCGAACAATATTCTGTATAATTTAATTTTTGTAGTCTTATTTAAAAAATAAGATATTCACACTCTAAATTCGTTGCAGTAAAAATTGTCACTTTATCATACAGTGAAAGATCGATTTTAGGGATTTCACTGCTATGCAGTGATTTTCACTGTATGTAAAAGTGAGTTTTAACTTTTGTTAAAGTGAAATTTTTACTTTATTAGAAACAGTAAAAAATGTCACTGTTATGGTAGTGACATGGTTGCAGTGGCATGATTCACTGCAAGAAAAGTGATTAATTAACTGCAGAAGAAATGAAAAATCACTTTTCTAGTAAAAAAAATTTGAAATTTTTTGACAGTAGAAAATAATTTATTATATTAACGATGAAAAGTAATTTTACTAGTAAAAAATATAGTGAAGTAATTGCCTATGAGAGCCGACACGGGTGTTGGTGTGTGAAATTCTTATCGTTACAATATCCAATCACACACGATCTGCGCGTCGCACGGTTTGTCGGTCTTAAAACACAGTTCTTTGCATGAAGTCGGAAACTGGTAACAAATTAAATTGACGAACAATTTAATATCTTTCGATGTTAATATGCATCTGTAAGATTCCCCTCTTCATAGGCAATTACTTCTCAATATTTGATTTCTTGGAGCCTATTCTATCCAAAATTCATTAGAGTAAAAAAGACACTTTTAAAAGTTATTAGCAGTTAAAATGTCACTGTTAACTGCAGTGACTCAAGTTCACTTTAAGTTAAAGTGAAATCTCACTGCAAAGAGGGTGGTCGTATTTTGACTATTCGCTACAGTGAAATCTCACTGCAACGAATTTAGAGTGCACAAATACGTACTTTAAAAATCTGTAATTGCTATATATTAAGATTTTTTTCTATCACGAGATACCTTAATTTTCTAAGTAAACTTCTTCAAGATAAAAGGGAGTATCAGCTAATTCTAATCTCCGTTGTAAAATTTTGGAATCTTTATCTTTGAATTCAGATCTTCTTTTATCTACGAGTTTTTCTTAAGAAAAAAAAAAAAGGAAAATGATTATTTTTTAAATAAATTAATTCAAAGCAAGAGGACGCATTCCCGCATTTAGAGGATTCAAATGCGGGGTTCAATTATCACTTAGGCTTTCCATTTCTGTTTTCCATTTCTCGATCGCCGAAAGCATACCTGCTTCAGTTTAGAAAACTGGATGCACAGACTGTGGGCAAAAGCTATATAGTACCAGCCGCGCAGGTAGACGAGGTAGACACGCTTCGTCGCTGAAAATGTTGGGAGAAAGAGAGAAAGATTCATGGGAGTGGGGAAAAGACTGCTTTAGCGGAGCAGGAATGGTGGTAGAGAGCCGCGGCATGGTGGAAGTCAGCCGCACGAAGACGTGACGTACATACTCGGCAGTGTACAGCGTACCATGGCGTAGCTATGGCATAGTTAAAGTGGGAGAAACCGTGTATGACCGTCCTCAGCCTGAGCCAGTCTCGTGTGAACGACCGTGAAGTGAATCTCGGATGGTGCACGCTCAGGACCTTGAGTCCTTCTTCGCGCTGAAACTCCGGAGCTTCGGGATAACCATCAGCTGCTAGTTTGAGGGAAGTGGACGGTTGTCAGTGGGTTCACCTGTGCTTCTCGGATTTTGACAGAACGATAAAAATACAAGTCACTGACATCATTTGTTCTCAAAGAGAAATTCGCTGGTCCAGATTCGTCGTGAACCTTGTTCGGCTATGTGCACCTTGGAAATGTCTTTAACGTGAATCGAGTGTCGAGAAATTGTACCGAGGTGTTTCTGTATGTGAGATGCGATATTGAAAACTTTACTGTTTGAACGATATTTAATTTGTATGACTCTCTGGTTTGTTTTTCTGCATTGAATTGATTATCTAAAGAGAGCAATTGATCGTTGCCTTTCAAAACTGTGTGTGACTATCCTATTTTGCAAAACTTACTACATTATCATCGTATTCAATATAAAAAGTTTTATATTTTATATTTCAATCTGAGAAATAATTTAACTTTAAATATGGTTGTCAAGTCGTCTTGAATTTTACAGAATTTATAAGTGATGTCATTCATTTTAAAGAAATAACTTACAAGTCTTTCTGTTTGAAAATGCGAAGAAGGTGGCCTAAGAGAAATTTTGATAGACAATAAAAGCATCGACATTTTTAAAAGTGCAATTCAAAATAAAATAGCAAAGAATTAAATGAATCTGATGACAACGAAATACGGTCAGTCTCGTGGAATGAGCTACCATCTTATCGGATATTAAATTAAGTCCGGCGCGGTACATTGACCAAAAACCTGACGTGTACACCGGTCTGATCCGCCGCCAAGTAGGTCAACCGGCGTGTGCGAGAGTGCGAGACTGAGCAAGAGAAAAAAAGAAACACATCAGTGGCAGGATAAGGGGTGGAGGGAGAAAGAAAGAGAGAGAGAGAGAGAAAGGCGAGGGAAAAAGAAAGAATGGCGTGCTGCAGGCAGCGCCCGTGAAGTCGGCTTTCCTGATGATGTCCAGCGGCTCGTTGTAGGCTTGTGATCTAAAATGGCGGACATCGGTAGGCACCACAGCTCGCTTCGAATCGACCGGTTCGGATGCGCGGAATCCTGAAGGAGAAGACATCGCGTCCTTGACATTCGCATCCTTGATCTTGCTAGGAGAAGCGCGGGTTGCGAGAGCCGACGATCATGGCGGGACTCATTGGGTCGAAGGTCCTGGCGACCTTGACGATCCTTGCACTATCCGGTAAGTCCGGGAGAGGAAAGGTTGGGATAGGGTAGTGAGTCAGGAGGTGGAGGGTGGAACGATTAGACGTGGAGCATTTGTATCAAATGCTCTGCGATAGATTTCTAATGTGTGTTGTATACAAGATTTAACAAAATTATTAAATGTATCCAATTTTGATTGAGAGTTTATCAATGATAATTACAGATTAGCAGAGTCATATATACTCAATAAAATATGTAATTTGATCCTTAATTATAATTCCTTTAATTATAAATATACAACTCAAAAAATAAAACATAATTAATAATAGAGAAAAAATTTCTGTTTAGTTACTAATACAACCTGTCTAATTCACATTATAAAATACGAATTATGAAAGATCAAAAGATTCAGGTGGAGATATCAACGATCGCAATGTGATGTCGTCGTATGGTGACATTAACGCCCAGCTTAAGTATACTGGCGTCGCATCGTTTGGCCGCGAGATAATTACCGAGATAATTTACAAAAAGAATGCAATTTCTCGAAATGTATGTTGAACCTGTCGGATAAGTTTTTAAGCCGGCGGCATGTCGGCATGCCCGAAACCGGTATCTTGACCTCCACCGAAAATTTCGTCAGGTTAAAAAATGCCTTGTACTGACGCTTCATCGAATCACACGCGGCTATTAAGTATCACTACATCACTTATAATTGAAGGAATATTTTATCGCTTTCCCATTGAAGGTAACGTCTGTAAACTCCACAGGATTCCGCCAGGATAGCCATTCTCGCCTATGATGAATATTAATCCCTATTTTTTTTTTCGAGAAAAAACATGTCAAGAATTTATGCAAATGTGACACGACTGCGTAAATAGAAGTACGTCCGGTTTCGCAGCAGCGGTGTACGCGTCGGTGCTACCTGAGGAGATAAGCGCTTTATTGATATCCGTGTCGTGCCACGTACTACACGGTTCAATTCTATGTAAATCCTATCCTACGTCAAGTCGGACTCGCGAATGCAGTTCACGGAACTTACACGCGATTATAAAGTACGTACGGTGATAATTATTACGAGTACTAGTAGCATCGCACGGAAAAATAAGGATAATTAAATAATCATTTTATTAATTAATATTTCAAATTAATATCGTAATTAATATTTCGTTGTTATGTTACAACAGCTGCGCCAGAAAGGTATAAATATGGCGATCGCGATCACTTCTCTTAAAGAACTGAAACATTCGGAGATCTTCACGTTTCAAATTAAAGAGCTGGCAACGCACGACGTGATTACGAAACGCGTGCACGCAATTTGTCGATACGGCTTTAAGACCCGCATAAAAGTGTTGGGATCGAATAAGTGATACGGCCTATATTTTCCCTATTCGCCACCATCTCATCACCTGTTTCCACATAAAACGGAGACAAACGGAGGGGATTACAAACGTGTGCAACACTCTTCTTGTCTCCAAATTTATAGTCTCCACGACGCGAGTGTTCAATACTTAATCAAGTCGTTCCAAAATTTCAAATGCATTGATAGTTATTACCTTCTACATTACAATAAATCCTGTTATTAATACAGATCGCGGAAGTTTGTGGGATATTTTAAATATAACTTTTTTTTTATTAATATTCAAATAGCAAAAATTCACCGACGCGTATAAAGCGGACATTTCGGTATATCAAAAATATTTAATCATCGCTGGACATTTATGTAAATTTCACGGAATAAATTTCGCACATTTCGGCACTCGAGTCACCGGAAGCTATGCGAGCATTATTACGTTTCACGCATTTTCGCTTATTAGCGTTTACACTACAGTATGCATCAATATTGGATTCTGCGTCTGTTCGCGTACATATTAATAACTGACGCATTGCAATCGATTTCACGTTAATGTAATTAACAATGGATTTACGGAATTATACGGGCTAATGCATTCTCAAAATGCAATATCGAGTTAATGCCGTTATCAATTCCACCGCGCAATATTCGATGTATCCGTGATGCTCGATGCCGTAAGCATTCCTTTTCACCGAACGAAAGAGTCATCGACTGACGCGTCACTCCTGTAGCTTTCATGAGTTTTACTGTCCGCTATATCGGGGCTTCCCGTTTGCGCAAACGGAGGACCATTTGCATTGAAGCTACCAACGCGTCATCGCGCGGGCGCGCGCGGGAGCAACGACACCGCGAAACGTATATCCGGCATGGAGTTTCATCACTCCCCTGGACTTTCGCCCAACCGCACGAACCGTGAAAGTGTCGCACGAAATCGCTGCGTATACACAGTAGAACAAAAACGAAGACCAGTTCAAACTACCGAGAGAATTACTATTTCGAAGATCTACCGAGATAGGAATTCATTTGTCTGCCGAATTTACAAAAGCGAAAGTCGAAAGTCGAAATTTTAAGCGACAGCTAAACATCTACGGCGCGAAAGGTGGAGAAGTGAATTATGGCACTTGAATTATGAAAGCAGGATGGTTCGATTTATCATATAATATCTTAAACAAAATAAAAATAAAAATAATTAATTTTAATTTAATTTAATTAGCGACAAAGATGTTCAGAATTAATTGTAAAATGTGCATGGCGCTCTAAATCGCAGTTTAAACATTTACTGATCTTTTTGCTGATCTTTTTAGTGTTTCGAACGTTTCCGCGTAACGTGAGAATTATTTCACAGTTGACATTTATAGACGAGCACGCGCAGTTATACGGAATCGCGTGCGCTCTCGTCATGTCGCGATTACCCAGCTGTCGTGAAACAATCCCTCTGCTCTTTTCTGCCCAGAAGCAGTGTCACTTTCACGTGACATCGATTTGCGTACATGTGCAACATTGATTCTACAACTCCGCAATTGTTGAATTTCACCACGCGGATACGAAATGTCGCGTTTACTGGCGAAAAGAATGAATATTGGGCTGGAATGGGGTACCGTTAAGTCTGCCGTTACCGCCTCGAGAGACGCGGCACATAGCACGGTATACACGTCCACGGCTAACCCCTGTCAGGTTTCTTTCCTGTTCCTTTATGGTTGCGTTAGACGAGACTCCTATCGACGTTTTAGTTAGTCCCTCCCCCCCCCCCCTCAAAAGAAGAAAAAGAAAAAAGAAAAATAAAACAGTAAACAAGTTAAAAAAATTTAATATATCACGTTTAGAACTTGCGACAATTGCGATTATTTCAAATATGTGCCAAATTGTAAATCGGGGTACCAATAGTGTGTCGCAAAGAGTGGCGCAATAGTGGTACCCGAATTACCTCCACGGCAAACAATAAGAGATGATTACTCGAGATTTAACGTAAGAACCATTATCGCGCGCGCATTATGGGAAATACGTCGGGGCCGTGCGAATCGGATCGATCCTATCTGAATTAGATAGAACAGGGAAGACTCTCATGCTTAATCGGTCACCGCTTCTCGAGGTCACCCCGTGCACGCGCTTAATCGTCGATTTCAGGTCAATATCAATCATCGCCGGTGTCAAGGAAAGGAACTTGAGACCGGTAATATTTTTACACGGAAAGAACAATTTTGCTGAATCCAGATCTGAAAATAATTTTTGCTCAATAATCAAAATAATTTTGCGCGAAAGTCAAAATGATTGCTAAAATATCAAAACGTTTTATAGCAATGTGTTAATCAGTTTTAACATTCCAACAAATTATTTTGATGATTTAAGAAAAAATTATTTTCAGATCTGTTTTCAGCTATAAATTTTTAGATTTATTTTCAATAAAATCATTCTTTCCGTGTACCCGGTTCACCTCTATTTCTCCGTCGCAAACGCGACATTCGCGACTTGGCCGTTGCGAAAGACGCGCGTTCTGCCTTCTCGTGAAAAGAATTCATATTCGTGCCTCTTGGAAAATATGTGTTACCGCGAACAATTACCTTATTTCCTTTACGCATGTCAGTCCTTTACCTATAACTTACGCTCGTCGTGCTAACCCTAACTAACCTGCGGCTTTACAAGTAACTATAAGAAACTTATCTTTATGGTTCTGCTTATACCTCGTCCTCTGCATTATGCGCCTTTTTGTAACTGCTAATAATAAACTGGTGACGAGAACCGTTGGCTAATATGCTATACAGATTTTCAATTGTTTTTTAAAAAACTTTATCGCATGAGGCATTTAACGTATTCCATTGAAGCACTTGACACACATACGTTGAATACATAAAATTATATTCAGCTTTGCAATAATCTTTGAAACCTATTCTTAAAGTCAGTATTGTTAATTTATACACGGAAAAAACGATTTTGCTGGATACAAAAATCTGAAAATAACTCTTGTTGGACCATCAAAATAATTTTGTTGGAAAGTCAAACTGATTGCTAGAATATTAAAATGTTTTATAGCAATGCTTATCATTTTTGACTTTCCAACAATAATTATTTTCAGATCTGTATCCAGCAAAATCGTCCTTTCCGTGTAATTGTATTTAAAATTTTTGAGAAAATTAAGCGACTAAGCTAATAGAATATATATTAAAAATGCGAGAATCTACACTTTCTTTAAATGGAGGCAACATAATTTCATATGTGATATATGTACATATCTTTCTTTGTGTTATATGCTGCATTAAATAGGATAGACGTGTCTTATATTACGGCTGGAATGGTACCGTATTCATTCTTCGGAACAATTTCAATCCCTCTGTTCGCGTTCTCGAAATGAGCAAGAAACGTACGGCAAAAAGCTAATTAACGAAGTAAAAGTACCGCCGCTGAAGATCGTTGCGCCCGCCGCGCTGTGTAGGTACTCTCTCGCACATCTGCCCGGCTAATTATTTCGAGTACGATTATACACGCGGGTGACGTTTCGTCTCGTCCGGCCGTGAGGCGAGAATCGCGCGGTTCCAGCCGAACTCCGAAGATGCAGAATATTCCGGTCTCCTGCGCGAGAGAGGCTCGGCGGGACTGCATTCCGTTCGTTACGACGGCGGCCGGGCGCTTGCTATGCGATTCACCTACATTCTCACGGCTTCCCCGGCTCGCAATAGAGAGAGATCGTATAG